TAGGTCTGTCCACTAGGTGAGTTTACGAACTTTGGGGTGGACGGTTTTCGATTGATTTATCGACTGATCCGTACGTATTACCTGAGATTTTTCATCCAAGTGAACTGTTGTAAAATACTTCGGGTAGACAAGTTGATTTCATTTCCCACTATTCCTACTACTCTGTTGATTGTTCGATGTTGTGTGAAAGATTATGCAACTAATGCCTGAAGATGGTAGTCTCCATATTCTCATTGTTAGGTTAGTGTGTTACGTGCAGTAGTGCTGTAAACGTGTCTCTTCATGGATGGCCTTGTAAATGTTTTTTAGCCAATGTGATCAATTGAAGGGCTTTCTTTCATACGCGCCCTAGTTATGATTCGGTTAAATGCGAACACTGAGCTCCTGGTTTCAAAAATCGATTATGCCAACTTGATGTGAGGACAATATCATATCCACTCACTTTGATGATCACTTGTGAATATACACTTTAAGACACCCTAAATAGTAGAAAAAATCCCATCACTGGAGGGCGAACAGAAGGGAGGTAGGTCTGAAGCCGTCAGCATATTCAAGCTTTGACATACACTTTTCGAGCCATAACGGAGTGGCTAAACAAGTTTCGCGCATCGTACCCCGTTGGCCTGCCCACTCATGAGACCCTATCGGGGCACGTAAGCAGGGCCTGGTGGTGATAGCCAGTAATCGGCCGGGTCTTTCCAGCGGCGGTCACAGGTTTGGGCCTTAACAAGGGCTGTTTGCGGACACAAACAGGAACAGCTTTGGAGCGAACACAATGGAGTCAGCATCAGGTGTATTTGGCGGCTGTGTTACTAATAAGCTAAACCTTGGTTGCACCCACACGGCGCTCTGTAGTCATCCGTCGTTTGATTTGCTTTGGTCTGTACAAGGGTGGCCATTGAAAGGATACCGAAGCATGCAGTTGGGGGGTTATATGGAGACATTCACACAGCTGAACACAGGGTCTTCTGGTTCGAGTGAGCTGGCGACTTAAATTGCCAAGACATCAAACCCAGTTATACGGCTGTGGTGCATTACAGTGCTGTCATAGGTCTGCAACAGAGAGCCGAGGCAAGTCCGGTAAGCTTACTGTATCCACCGACGTTTTGTCGATGAACCGTCGATGTGTTAACCGTCGGCTAGTGGATCCAAGATAATCAATACAGACTGATCGCAGCTTCTGTAAATCAGGCTTGAATTTTTCGCGTAAGCTATTTGGCTCGAAGCTTCCAATCTTTGAGTTTACGAACACAGTATTGTAGCATTTCTATCCGTGGCGTCTTGTTGTGTGGTTACGCTTCCCACTTCATAAGATCCACGCCAGCTGCTTCCAGGCTTCGAACTGGAATGCCAAACCACCAGTTTTTCTACCCACCATGGTTCCGATTCGCGGTAGAAGGTTGACCATACGTAAACTCTTTCCGGATTCTCTTTCCAGCTTTGAATTTCAGTCAAGGGCTTCATTTTTTTCGGAACACTGGTTTGCCGAAGACATATTGGCCTCTGGATCTTTGGACGTCACGTAGGGTCCAAACTCAAATCGAAATATGGTATGTAAAGGGAGCAGAAGCACACTAGTCAGCAAACGGAGGACTATTGAACACTAAGCTATACCTTGTTTAGTGCACACCGACCCCGATAACCGAACTGTAGAGCATAAGTTATCAAATCATCAGGTGTGTACTGTACGTTGTACGCGCAGATAGTACACAGTGGACCGAAGGCGTAAAATGCGTACCTTAATCTATTGGACAAGATGTTTTGCATCAGTTAGTCATTCATCGAGTCAATACTCGGAGTGCACGTCATCAACATCATTCAGGACAGAAGTGGCCATAAGGTAGAGATCAAAGAACAGCGACAATGGCGTACCCCCAATTTACGCCACTGATGATTACAAAACTACCTGAAATCGCTCCGTTTTCTTCTAAAGTTTCTTCGATTCCTTCATGTAAGCACCAGGCAATATAAATGACAGTCAGTTATATTTAGCAAGAAGTCTATACAGTAATTCTCGGTCTTCAGAGCCCAAAGGCTTCGTGAAGCCCATGAAGGGAGCATGATTATGCTGCGGATCTTTGTGAAACTTTCATTGAGGCTGTCGTGAAGTAGATATCAAGCTCAGTGTGCTGTCTAGGACCAAAGCCATGTTCTTACGAGATATGTGTCTCGGTAACTCGGTTCTCTAGCGCTTGCCCTAAAGCTTGCACACAGTCAAGAAGGTCAATATCCGTATGTGCCGGACGAAGCCGTGCTTCTTTCTTCTTTTATAGGGCGAAATAAATGAGTCCCTTCTGAATTCTGGTGGAAATTCCCGTTTCTGATAGATGAATGAGATCTTACAGCATGAAGGACTGGTCCGTCGGATCGGACGAGGCCGTATGACCTCATCAGTAATTAATAACGTCACGTTCGGTTTGCGTTGACTGGCAGATGGCGAGATGGCCCAAGTGGTTAGAGCGCGAATTTACTGACCGGAAGGTTCGTGGTTCGAATCCGACCTCCGCCACTCGACTTCCCCTGTCTAGGCTTGGGCAACCTGGCAGTATCCTAGCCCTCGTGCTTCCTTCGGGTGGCATGACAGTTAGGCACCGGAAGGGTGCTACAGCTGAACGCTTTCTGACTGGCATGTGCAACCGTATGAGCGTCTTCCATCCGGTGTAAACATGAGAGAATGTGAATCAAGGGACAGTTCCAAAGTGTAAATAGGCCCATGGTTGTGAAAGATGAACAACCGATCATTTGAAATACATTGGGTGCGAAAGGTTGCTTGCAAGACCACATGAATAATGGGGCAGACCCGAAGAATTTGCAAGTGGTCAGGTAGTACTAATCACTATAAAGTCTGTACAGCGATGGTCACCAAGACACCTCAGTATTGTGGTAGGCTTAGCACTCCAGAATATCCAAGACAATGAGAAGGCTTGGAAGACAGGTAGGGACACTCTAGAGGTTGAACCCAATAGTATTCTCATTGGATAGACTTGGGGTCTGCATCAGTTGTGATCTGAATCCAGGATACATCAGCATAGCGTTCTGTAAGTCATGATTTGACTTGGTTCGAAAAGCAGCATACATAAGGGGAAAATGGCAATCCGAATAACCATACCTAACTCTGCATCTGACGACGGTGAATAGCTTGAACTACGATATATCATGGAATAAGAACTCGACCCCGGTCATCCATAATCTCTAGATAGCTAAACACATCTTGGAATATCGAATTTGTTCTGCTCATAAGAGTCATATAGAATCTAGTGAATTGTGGAAATTTGTCCAACATCTACATGCCCGATTTAGCCTACCTACTTATGTGTCCCCTTTGGTGCACGATCTAAGCGAAGGTGATTCATGAAGATTTATGAACTTCGGGGGTCATCACATCAGTCTAGGTATCCCGCCCGGATTAACAATAAGAGGAGAAAAACGCTCAGAGTTTTAGAATGCCCATGGGCAACAGGAAAACTCAGGCAAAGGCAAGAAACTATCGTACGGACATTTGGTAGTATAAATTTTGGCATTGATCTCGTTACTCTTGGTGGACACAGCGAAGTGGACATCACCCAACAAGTGTATTGCTATTGATCGATTTGGGAATCATAATCAGTATCCACCTCACAAAACTTCACAGGGTTTCGAACCCGAAACTTGCCAGCAGTTTGAACATAAGCGTTTGGCCACGACCGGATGATCAACCGAAAAACTGAGTTAAACTGGTTAAGTAGTATAACCAACACAAAGCATTTACCGACTGTCTGCTAATTCCTTTGACTTACCTACCGCCCAGCAACGTACCTCTTTAGGTCGTCAAAACAATCGATCCAAAATTACAGCCACCTGAAACAAGTTGTGGAAATCCGTCCGAGGTGGAATTGCGTCGACCATCGGAATAGGGAGCCGCACCAACCGTGCAGGACAGCGAGCGTAAGGCAGCCAAAACTAGACGTTGGAGGTCAGGTGTTAGACTCATCGAACGTGAAGCGGACTATTTCAAGCAGCAATCAAACTGAACCTGGGTCGCTGCTGCGTGCCAATTTCCCATTATCATATAGTGGGTCGTCCAAACATCCACAATCCTACGGGGTCACTAGGGAGTTGAGTGAGCTCAAGGCACCGATCTCGGACAGATGATGACCCAGCGCTGATCACAAATCCCACCATCTGGCCGGAAGCCATTTGGCCTTAATGAGCGGAGCACTGTACCTGTAGGTGAGCGGCCTGGAAGAACCGAATATCATGTTGATTGGACATTCGAGTTGCGAACCGGAAGAAGGCACACATTGACTGGTTAGAACTCGGGAAAATCAAAAAAGGAACATTTTAGCCTAGCACTTTTCGCCCACTTACAAAGTTTCTACAGTTGGTCACGTGGACAATTCTGTGAATGCTTTATAAATATAGCTGTAATAGCCATCCTTTTAAAGGCTGTCTCAAGCTACTGCCCTTTTGATATACCATAGTTGGCGAAATAGGATTTGCCAGCCACAGTGAACCGTCACCATCATTCCTATGCGGTGTGGAGAGCCGAGGGACAGAGTTTGGGTGGCGGATAGCGAGAGCTGCAATCGTAATTATCAGGTCAGTCTACCCTTATAAACAATGTCGTTCACGCTGTGGCTACGCGCACAGGTTTCACCATGCCAATTTCTCCAGTACGAGGAAACTTAAACTTCCATGGCATCGACACGCAATAACGATGCCGCGTCTGTCCACCTTTCATCATTTTGGAACCAATGCATACATCGGTCCACCGACCGCTCGCTCGATCAGCAACGCGTTGCCAAGCTTTTTCACGGTCTATATAACGTTTCAAGGCATATCAAATGCACTATTAAAACTAGAGCAGCGCAGGGATTCATATTAAAGTTAGAGACTTTTTTGAAGCGCGTCAGGTTTTACAGCCCATTTTGTTTCACGAAAAGACACTTCATTCGGAGATATCTTCAATACTTTTGAGGTCAGTGCAACTTACTCAAAACAGTGATCAAGGGATTAACCGTGGGAAACGCACTAACGCCATGCGACTAACTTGCAAGAGTCAAACAAAACAACAGCAATCAGGGTGTAGATATTTCTCTTCAGGTCATTGCATCACAAAGTTACACAAGCTCAAACAGACTGAGACCGAAATAAGTACAAATTCAAGGATGAGTAACTGATCACCTGTCTTTGGAGATGTATATGTTCACACATGGCTGCTCATCGAAGAACCGAAAGAGTGAGATATCATGGTTGCACCGGCACCATCGTCGAAAGAAATAAAGCAGTGGTGCATGAAACAGAGCATGTGTATAATATAAAATATGCAGACAGCAAAGTTGGCAAACGCAAAACATTGGAGCGTAAGCTCGGTCCAATTGGAGCTTTCCAGCAGTTGGCACAACAGATGTCGTTGATTGGAAGCCTCTTCGATAACTGGTGCTTGTGTCTTTTGAAAACAAAGGTTTAGGAAACTTTATGATCTAAGTGAGTGGTATGTGGGAGCTTCTGGGAATGAAAAGGTTAGAAAGATTTGTTCAGAGGTTTTATTGACGTCCTGAGAATCACTGAACAGACTACTCAAGTACAATTTTGGTTGGACGCTGCTACGAGTCGTAGAAATGCTTGGCGATGTCGACGGACGGAAATTTGGAATCCTTTCGAAACAGGGGCAAGCGGAAAATCAGGCAAGGCTAACTTTGCGTTGGAATCATCAGAACTGAGGCGTTCATATTCGAATTCATCCAGCGAAGCCCAAAATTCCAGGAGGGATGCATAACTGCAAATGAAACGAGATCAGAAGGTCGATGAACTCAGCTGGATATGTCTACACAGATCCACCTGTAATAATGTCCATCAAACCCATATGAACCCCTCATCTCTAAATGAATTCTTCAGATCGTCCGATAAAAAAAGTGCATCTCGATGTTCGATTGCTAAATTTCGCCTCGAGTCGCCTGAAGGTGTAATATTCGAAACAGACAATATAATGTTCGACGCCTACCACGTAATCAAATCGTGACTTCTTTTCCGTCTCACGAAGGCCTGACCAGTTTGCAATCCCAACCTCTGTCCGACTTGCATCCTGTGAAATGTTCTAGTAGAGAAAAACGTGTACGTCCATAACTCTAAAAATGAGCTACTGCATGCCCAGAGGTAGAGATAGTGGAAAGGTAGTTAAAATGCGATCCATGCACTGACTAAAAACACACCGAAGTTATCTAAAAAGGCGCTAAAGCGACAGGGTCGGAAAACCTCAAAACTGCACCGTGAGATGGCCCTATAAGTTTCGGTAAGTGTTGCTAATGTGTATAAAACGCCAAATTGCGTTTGAACGGTTCAGAGAGTTTCGATGGGCCACAACAGTATGGTGGAAGTCCATATTCGGCTTTATTACACTGCTTCTGTTTCACGCTAAAATCACGACGACCGCAAATTAGTGTTTATCAATCAGTCACCAGTGCAAAAAATAAATACGTAGGAAAATTTACACTATCCATTTAATTTTTAGAAGGCACAGGGCACATGTCGGTTTGAATACATTCGTCTCACTGAACGTATTTATTCAAAGCTGATTGAGATATGATCAAAAATGTGTTGGAAACACGAGTGCTTGATTTAAGATCAGGGACAGCCATGGTAACCGTTCTTAACCAATCAGGGAATTCCATGCGTTGACAACCTTGAAAAATATATGAAGTCTGTTTGTATAAATAGAATGAAATATCTGTCTACTCACGCATCTCCATAAGTGAGACAGTGTTGAATAGTTTCTTGTTTGAACACAGGGACCGGATTGCTCAGCAAACTGACCATGGACTGGACCAGGGTTGCCACAACGGATTCGTTATACACTCGACTATTCTCACGCGATTCGGTTGTCCCACGGCAGGCGTCAAACCCAGCCTCGTTGAAGTATGGTTCAGAGTTGAGGATGAGACCTGTAACAGTCGAAACATTGAAAATGAAAAATGATTCTTACGGATCACTCCGAAAATTGTGAGAATATTTCAATATGACAGTAAAAGAACAGTAAATGGTAACCCTTCCGTGAAGTGCAAACGTAACAAATAGGAAAAATGGTTTCTCCACGAAGGGGACCATAGAAATAAACCTATTATATGGGGGCTTCTCCCTGGGGCTGACCAAATGAATGTAGAGCAGTCGCAACTTAACTCCTGTTGAAATAGGAAGAAATCAGTGGGTAGTGAAACCAGAGAGTTGCAAACCATCGGAGAGATGAAAAGAATCTTTCGAAAAATAACATCAGCTAGAGCTCCACAGTAATAGCACTCTAAATACACACTTGAAAAATAAGATCATCTTTCAGCTGTGACACACTTTCGGTGCCTAACTGCCATGTCACCAGAAGGAAGCACGAGTGCTAGGATACTGCCAGGTCGCCCAAGCCTAGACAGGGGAAGTCGAGAGACAGAGGTCGGGTTTGAACCATGGACTTTCCGGTTAGTAAATTCGCGCTCTAACCACTGAGCCATCTCTCACTGGCATCCTGGCATACACATGAAAGGTCGGATCCATTCAAATGTCACCAGCAAAAGATCCCTGCAAGGCACATGTGTCAAAGAAATACCTTTGGGGTAGGGAAACCGAGTTTCGAACAACATTAGGTTCAGCTCGAATTTGTATGCAAGTGGCGAAATACACCCAGTTGCAGATGAAACTGATGTCAACTGAGGAGTCACCTGAAGATCATTCAAATACACCGTTTATGACAAGTAAATTCTTTATGATAACAGCATTAAGGGTATCTTAAAAACACGACTCACTGGGAGTTTTATTTGTGGTGATCGGGGATATATTAAGTTATTTTTCCACGACACCCAAAAGAGTTACAGTTTTCTAATTTGTGTAACTGGAAGCATACAGCAGCTCCAGAAACATCGGTGCTACGACAAACACAGTAGTAGTAAATATCAGTGGAGTGTGGACATACACATTCACAGACGCTCATGAGATAACTGGTCATCTCATTACTGAGACACTTTCATCCATTTAGAAAGCATCGTTAAGTGGACTTTTGGAGCAATTCGATCAGAGAAGGACCAAAGTTAACCTCTTATTACATATTAGGTCCCCATGTTGGAGTTCATGGGAGCAAGAAGCCCCATAATAAGATTGACTGGATTCGGCTATTTTGCATACCTCATTGTCTGTTCACATATAATCAGAATCAAGGCAAGGTCAGGATGAAGGACGAACACACAGGTCAGTGGACAGACAACAGCGACCAAAGGTAATCGGACTCCGGATCAGGTCGAGTAGAAGCACTGGGACTGTAAATATGATTCATCGTCGGCCTTACCAAGACAAGGCAAGGGGAGGCTGGCCAGAAATTCCAGTTTACGCAAGTTAGGTTTGCGGTGTTCAGCCGCAAAGCGTAACAGTTGGTTGTTGCGCCAAATGGGACTTTCAAACTGTTAACCGCTAGATTCTTCGGATGTGTTGGGACATCACTGCAGTTAAACGTCTCTCGGTCCTCAAGACGCAGTTGCTACCGCAGGTACATTGGAAAAGGTACACACAGGAGGAGGTAACCAAAGATTTTGGTTTGTCTAGGGTGAGTTCTGTAATCCCTCGTCGTGTTTTGTTCAGCATTACTAAAGTCGCTGAGTTGAACGTTCTTGTGACAGTGACTCAATTTTCACCGCACTCGTTTATCGTTCTGGTCCCCTTTGTACTGCAATGTGATGAAAACCGTTTTTGGGGACGTCCTTTTGTTTCTCTTCCGGGAAAAAGCTGCCGATATAGGCGCTTTTCTGTAGTACGCCTAATATGTTCTCGATATCCTTCTGAATCCTCATCAAAACAAATGCTTCTGCTTCCGTTAAGAGGCCATGCACCACGACCTGTTTATACTCTATTGGACGAACGACTCTAAAGTCAAGACATTACCCTAACCGAAGTTGCTGATAGAACGTTGATCTGAGGAGTGACTAATGCTCATTTCTTACCATCTGGACGTCTGAAAAGTGGGAAAATCCTCCGCAAATCAATTTGGTTTTCACGGGAGACTCAATTGAATCTCTCGTTTATGATGTCCTCCAACTGAATGTGCTGCACACAGGCCGCCTCATGTTTCAGTTGGCACGATATTCAAGATATCGCAGTATATTTTCATAAAGGAAACTACTCACAAGGTTGCTGAAAACTCTTAGACAGCCCATGACCGGTTTCGCCCTTCTTGGGGTGCAGTCCCCGAGTTTCCGTCAACCTTACGTTCTACTTGAACCCAAACTGGACTGTTTTCGAGAAATACACCCAGAGCATAGATGTGCATTTTCCGTGTAGGCTGACGTGATTTTGCATGATTTTGGCCAAACCTGAACCACATCACCATTAGCTGTGAGAACCGCGTACTTGTTCCACAGTGGCTATATAGTTGCCACAGTTTCGTTCGCCGATGAGTTGCAGAGGTGGGGTAGATAGCTGTGCATTGGAGGCGGGGGGTGCCATAATTGATGCCCAAACACAGGGCTGTCAGTGGATTTTCAAATGGGGAGATTTGGAAGAGAGCTATGCACCGAAGACAATAGCCATCACCACGCCATCAATTCATTATTACAGTTCCATAGACAATGTCTGTCCACAGAATTACACCTCTATTTATTCAGAGCTCTCTTAGGGCTATTCACTGACGTTCCGATAAGAAGTTGGACGTCCGTAAATCTGTGAGAAATTTTATTCACTTGATCAGCGATTTTAGTCTTTAGCGAGATGGTATCATCAGAGAACATTGGAACGAATTCGGAATGTTGCTCGCACAAAAATTCAAACTGAGTCTGCTCTGATGTGAAAGCGAATTTCGCTGAAGTGGTAGTTCGGTAGATGAGCACTGTAGGTTAACAAAAAAATCACAGGGGTAATGTGTCTGATCTGACAGACAATTTGAGTGTACCTCGCTCAAATTGGATTCTACGAACATAATTCTTGGATAGTGGGTATTTCGGCTTGAACATAAGATTTCAATGTCTAAACCAACCTGCGTACTGCACCTGACCATATTTGACTGATCAGGAGAGCCCATTGGTGATAAGGCAACTTTGCTTATATGCATATTCCGAGGAAAGCTCTCTGTGTCAAGCTCCTTCGAGCCAAAAAGGAAATGCGAATAAAAATGCAGCTGGTCTTGGACACAGTGGTATGCTGTAGCACAGAATACGTGTAACATATAGATTGGCAGTGACGTCGTGGAATTCCTCCTTTGTCTAGTCGTTTTTTTAAGTAGAACAGGACGTCAAATTCGGCTAGTCGTTTTTTAAGTAGAACAGGACGTGCAAATTCGGCGTGTTTCACTGCGCTTACCTTGAAGTGAGACAACTAACTGAAGCAGGTTGGAGTTTTCTGGATTCCAGTTTTCCGAATCCTTACCAGCCCACGTGCCCAACAGAGACAGACATACGTGTCCTTCCACGTACAGGTTAGGATTTACACGTTCACTCGCAAACGAGTAGTAATGTACCTGCAAGAAGAAGCGGAATGGACAGTAATAGAAGTAAGCTGAGGAAGTTTCGAGTGAAGCACACGAGACCATCAAGTTAAAAAGTGATTATACAAGAGAAACAATCCAAGTTGAGTCTGTAGTAGTCAAGAAATATTAGAAAAACCTGCCAGGAACAAGGTAGTTTCCAACTACACCAAACCCTGTGGAGAATTTTGAGAGGTTCGTGAGTGGCAGAATCGTTTCACTTAATGCATTCGCACCATCAGAACGCAGCGTGGAGTAAAGCTATTATGCAAATACACCATCGGAGACCCACTGAAAAGCATGAAAATCAAAGAAAACTGTGGTAAACTGTGGTACTCACTCAAATCACGGCTGACACACAGACTGTAGCTTAAATGGGAGCTGTACTGACCTTAGGTTGGCTACTTCGACCGAGGCGATCGAAAAGTCAAGGAAAGACCGTCTTGGTGAGTAGTATACGTCTTAAACCTTGGGTTTTATTGAGCTAAGGCCACATTGTTTGCTGACGCGGTTCGTCAGTCACTTGATCATTTATGAAGCACATTCCAACGGTACATTCGTTTCAACTGCTACTGTTCCGTTAACCAAAAAAGAGGGAACGAGAAAGGAAGGGCCGGGCACTGGAGGCGATGGAATTGTTGGTTATTTGACACTGAGTGTTTCTAGCTATCTAATGAACTGGCAGCTTTATTGGCTGCGGTAACTCCGATGCACTGGAGTGTAGATGCGTAACGGACTGATGCTTGTCAACGTGACGTCGAATAATGGTGGTGGAGCGTCTTCTGTCCGGCTTAGCAGACAAACCAGCGGTCACAACTACCAGTGAAAAGGGGCAATGATTCAACCTATTCGGTCTTGCCGGTTGTTCAGATCGACCGATTGATGAATAAACATGAACGAGAGCGCTGCAAACGCAAAAGGCGTGTTGTGGACCGTCCGTCGGTATGTATCAAACAATGACACGTCCGCTGGGTAACTAAAAATACAGCTTTTCTGCCCATTCAGATCGATACTATTGATATAAAGAAACCATATGGAGTTGGTCAGTGGTCTGTCTGTAGGACATTCAGAAAAAGTGAACCGATGTTTGTTATCATGCTAAGGAATGAGCAGAATCAAGTTGCATATAAAAAGGATGGAATGTTTGAAACAGAATTCGTTGGTCTGTGCCCGGTGGTGCAACATATGACTTCAGATCTAAACGCATAAAGAAGTTCCAATCGCTGTGGTGCAATCATCAGGTGCTTGTTTGCTTACTAGAAAGCTCACTTCTTAGAAATTAACCAGGTAGGATGAAGCGACTGTTAATAGGTAAGATACATTACGTAGCGAAATGAACGCACGGGCATGTTATGAAATCCTGAGGTGGGGTAGATACACAGGTATTCAGAATACGCCACCTCACCTGTGGAGGAATGTAGGGGTAACGCTGCGGAAGAAGAATGTCAAAAAAGAAAAGCCCATGTTCGTAAGGGGTCCCAGCTGGTCCGACGATAAGCAGTGAGTATAAATCCATTCGATCCGAGAAGGCTTTTACAATTATGCCACGTGGGAGACTGGTGGACAACAAGGCATTCTGTAACCAGCAGTAGAACGGAGAGTGGTGGATAACACGAGGAAACTGTGAGCACGGAGTTAAATTGTGAAAGACGCGTTTACTGACCACGATAACATTATCATGAATGATCACGCAAGTACGATGAAAAAACAGCCTGGTGTTTTTAAGTCGTGAAAAGAGACGTTCTACAGAATGAAATGAAATACAAGAGAATGCGTTCGTTCGCCTGTAGTCGGAGATTCATACGTTCAATAATTCACCAACATGGTGAACGTTATAGTCGGGGTTTTCAGAGACTTCCCAGTGAAGAGTTAGAATGAGGTGAGGCCAAGGTATGATTAGAGCGAGAAAGCACTTTTTATTTGTCTCATACCCGCAGTGAGTATTCTACGAGTCCTGATTACACTTTAGAGAACTTTTTTGCAGAAACACAGGACAAAGTACAACGGCGACTTTCTTTCGGCGATGATTTTTCGCCTTGGTCTCAGAGTTTCCCAAGAGAATTTCCTTCTAACGGAGCTTGACAAAAATATAACTTGTACACATGGTCTTCTAGTCAACAAAATACAGTCCAAGTAAACCACAACACCAGAACAAAGAAGATGAAACATGTCGCGGAATGCTAATATTTCGTCCATTTTTTCAATGGCACACGTGAAACCTTGAATACTTACGATAACGGGGAGTCGAAAATGGTCAGACGATGGCTGCTTACTTCCAAGACAGACGAACAAACTGAGTCAACTGCCTTCTTGAATGCAGTTTTTGTTATCGTCTTCTTATCAGCATTGCTTCACAAGAACCCAAAAGTTGTGAAAATGTTTGACGACGGATGGCATGCAATTCTCAGTTTGTCATGCTGATATGTCATAGTGCAAGAATGTCCAGAAGTTCTTCGAGAGGGAAGTCGACTAGTTTTATCAATGCAGGCATCATGGCCAGTGAAGTAATAAAGGTGGTATGAAGTAGAATGACCGAAGAACCCTCTACCCAATTCACTAAAAAATGTACATAGATCATTGATGATTGGCTTCGCTTTCCCTAAGACGATTTGAACCTACATCTAGTCGACAACTTTACTTCGGTTTCTCAGTGAAGACCTTCCATGACCTGCTGATGCAAGGCAAGTGTACACTAAAAATACGGTCACTGATGTATACCAAACCACGAACATCCTGTCCTCCAATACATAATTTCAACCTAGGTAAGTGTACTTTCTAGTCATAATACATCCCCCTTTGCTGGAAATCAGAGGGCCATTCTGGTCCCTGCGAGTTCGGCTGATAACAGTCTTCCGAATACCAGAAAAATGAATAAAGTGGAAACGTTTCCAGCATTTTTCGCGTCCTCCATTTCTTTGGTCTTCTGGGTCCACCAAGCTCTGCGAAAGAGGAAATCCAATTTAGGTGGGAAAAAACCCAACGGCGCACTCATGATACCCCTTTTGCAAGCCAACAACGACCGGGCTAGTCACCAATAGATGCACTCGAGCTATCAATACTAGAACACATTGCTAACATGCAAATGTCCTCTGAAGAGCGAAAACACAGACAACCCCATTCAAGGTTGTTGCAATTCACGCAACAATACGCACCAACAGCATGATACCTTCATTCCAATGTTCATCAATCGGGAGGCACAATGTGAAGGATACGGAACGGCGGTCGTGGAAAAAATATTACGTATAGAACAGGACCGATGACAGACAAATGAGATCGCTCCTTAGTCCATGAATTTCCACCTTACGACGTCAAGCATGCAAGGGAACCGACAAGACTGATCAGTTTTATTTTAACATCCAGAGTCTGTAGTGCCGTCGAGGGGTAATCCACCTGGTGTCCTCAAAGGCAGGTTTGATAAACGGATCGGCATTCGTGGACGGTCAGTAAGTTCAAGATCTGTGAAAAGGCAACCAGTTATAAGATATTCAGCCAGTCCTGTAGCAGGGTTCAACGCCTTGAGGGAGATCTTAGCATATTGCTTCACTTTCACAGCCTTAAGCAGTCGATCACTGATTGGACGGACACCAATCCGTATCATCCCACCCCAGGCATTTATATCCTGTGATTCAGCCTCCCATTTCACTAAATCGTAGTGAGTAGCTTTCAGACTTCCATCCATGATATGCAGGAATTGCTGCCCCATCTGCAAGAGTTCAGTTGCCTGGTACTCTAATGTCAACACCGCAGTTGCATTAGGATCCTGTTTTTCTTTACTTGACTAACATAATGACCGTAGGCGAGTGCACAGAAGTATTACCTCCAGTATGTTTTCTTGACAGAACTCTAGTGATAAGTTTGCTAGGAGTTTTTTGAAACCCCTCGACCTGTTTTTCCCCCCTTGGGTAGGTAGATGCATTCCCCGGATTCCTGTAAACCTTATGCTGTACTTGAAACAGTCATTTACAAACTACTCCGGCTCTGACGGGAGACTTAGCTGAATCCCAGCCGAACCTCTGGTGCATGTTTCTGAACCGTACACAGGCCGACTCATATTTCAGCCAGTACGACGTCCGAGGTACCGCAGTATATTATCTTGATGAAACACTACTCATAAGATAATGTGGTGAAATATAGGTAGCCCGGGTGAGTTCATTGGTTGTTGATCAGGTGGCTGTTAATCTGTTCGCCGAGGTTGGCAATTGGCTTGCAAACGTTTCGTCACCATGCGAGGAGACATCATACGAGGTGACCCACCCAACTGCGCACTGATAATGTCTCCTCGTATGGTGACGGGACGTTTGCAAGTCAATTGCCAAGCTCGGCGAACAGATAAACAGCCACCTGATCAACAACCAATATACTCATGAGATACCCGAAAAATACCGTCATAGAGGCATTCACCTAAGTCCTCCGTTAGCACTAAATTAGTGTGCAAATGAGTGTAACCAGCCTAAACACGGTACAATAAAAGTCAGCACCGACACCAATTACATGTTTATCAGGATATCCGCATCACCCTTTAATTCCTTAAAGCTTCAGCGCATTACCGCACTTCCAGAATATAGCATCAACGGCTACTGGGATATGTCCAGTAACACGGTCAACATGGTAGTTCGGACAGTTTGCAACTTCAGACAGTTCGATTAATCTAACTGAGTCTCTCAGTGAGAAATTCTTCTGTATGGGTAAAGAATTGGGATGATAAATCGTGATAAATTATGCATCCGGACTGTCGGACGGAATGATCAAAACAAACGTCCTGGACACATTTTCTCAAGAGCTAAATCAAAACATCCCCTCTTCATACTACCTAGGTGTGCGGGTGGGGGTTGCGCATCTTTCGAAATAAAAAAAGTCAATAAACAACTCACATCACGTTTCCACGCCCGGTAGAACGATTTGGGGAGGTTGTCGGAAACGGTTCTGTAGAAACGATGGGTTGTCGGAGCGTTATCCTCTACGATAAATTGACCTGAAACGAGAGATTTTACAGACTCAATGTTTCAGTTATCCACAGCTAATCGTTGCCAAGTGCAGTATATTGTTTTCAAATAGTATAACCCGGTATTAGGCACACACGACGATCTGAAGACTGGCTATTTGATACATAGCCTCATGCACGGTAGCGCTGAGGTCAGCAAACGTGGACAACTGCACACTATGAAGAAATTCCGACGGTACTCTTTACATTGTTTACACGTTACAACCCATCATAATGTTTTTAGGTTTAACCTTGCATTAGAACACATGAACGAAGGGACGGAAAGAACGAACCGAAGATGTTCTGGGGACTTAAACAACACGACCTAGACCATTCCCCCTCGTATCCATAATCATCAGACTAGTTTTTGTGTAAGTATTGGACAAGCCGAACCAATGGGAAAAACTTCGACCCCTTCGTTTAGGGAACTCATCAGCAATGAGCGCATTAAGGCCTCTAACTGTGAAGCAACTGATTGATATAATTGTATTCCAAGCGCTTTAACCCACTAGAGATGTGAAAATAGGTCATAGTTGCTACATAATGCCAAGCCTAACCCCCACATACCCATGATCTCCTTCTCTGTGGGGTCCTGTGCCTGCGACTTCACACCGCAGCTAAGAATACGGGAAGGTAAAGAATCAATCGAAAGCAATCACTGTTGACAGTGCAGAAGACCAATGACTGCCTATCAGTAGAATACATGATACAATGGCGTATGTTTAGGCTTGACCTTCGAATCCAGAAAAGAGACAAAGTAGTTGGTCGCTGTCTGAGTGACGTGCGCATAGACATACGGCTGGTTTTCCCCTGGATATGTAAAAATCCACCGTAAAATGTTGTTTTTTCTGTGACCAGCCTTTGACCAATTCAGACTACTGGTAAACGGTAAGAAAGTTTTATCTGGTTAGTCATCGATTTTTGAAAAGAATACGAGACCAGAGGCCTCGAATTTCATCGGATGTTTATGGTGAAGGTGTGGCCGGACGCCGAAAACCCCACCAACAAGCGTGTTGATGTCTTCACTGGGACTGATCAATTAGGTGCAGAGGGACCGGACAGGTGAACTAGTGATTAGCGGTTTAAGACTGCAGTCACTCAAGTATGCGTATCATGTAGCAACAAGCCCACAAGGTCGATCGAAACGGGCGACTCCAAAGAGGTGTCGCCGTGGAATGATGTTACTGTATTCATATAAGTTAAGCTGGAGCCCGGTCCCTTATTGGCGAACCATCATCCGTTCTTATGATTGGATTATCTTTTAGCAAAGATGTATCATACCTGCATAACGCATCTGTAGTTAGGACCAGAACTGCGTTAGGCGCGACGGAAATGGAGACACATCAAATTTGTTGCTAACGGATAACCAAGACGTGACGTGATTAAAGACAGTGGATGAAGCGTGGAGTATTCGAGACAACAAAAAAAACGCCGCCGCCTCAGAACAGTTCGATAAACAATCAATGACGATGACATTCCGGTCGGTCCCAAAACATTGCCAATGAACTGAAGACTACCGTTGTTTTGATAAACATGAAGTCAGATAGAAAGAACTCGCTGTTACGCTAACTATAAAAAACAAGCACATTTAAAATTACAATTCGATTAATAAAAAATGTATAAAGAAATGTCTAGATAACGTACCACGGTATTCAGCAGGGATAGCATCTACTGTGGGGCCCGGCTGGCTATCGTCACGAGACAGCTTCGGTCTTCCGTCCGATGAGTCGTTCCCAGGCGGTTGTTCGCAGGCTTTGGTTTCATTCTCCATTTTTTCGTCTTGTCCCGCAGTTTCCTGTGCAACAAATATGGAACAAAGCAAATCGTATGCCTAGGTTGAAGGCATTTGCTTTCAAACCATGGTAACTGATTGGGGCGAGTAACTGCAAAGGAGTACGATCACTGTAACACAAACAATTGGCTAAAGGTTCCCATCCCGAAATGGGACAAAACCAAAGTAGAAGTGATGAGATAATTGTGGAAAGTCTAGGTAAATCATGACAATTAATACAAGTCCCACCTGAGTTTGCTACGGCAAAAACCTTGTCTACAAAACAGATAATGTACAACAACAGAGACAGGCGTAGAGTCTGATAGAAAGCTACTGCTGCTCAGGACATATCAAAAGAAGCAGACTGTAGGACTTTAACTAGAATGATCTGGAATTGAAATCTTGCAGGTAAGGCACTTGTCCCACACTTCCACTCATTGGCATGGAATAACCAGATAGCGCCAGGAGGAGTGTGCAGCCGGTAGCTTGAAAATAAGGGCAATGAACTAATAAACCAAAACAAGCGAACCTGTTCCGAGTGAACGTCAGTTTCCACAGTTTCGAGACCATTCACCATTGTCGATTCCACCACTGCCTGGCCTGACAAAGAATGAAACAAGTCTTCACTTTCAATAGATCCCCTGCTTTCAGATTTCGCCTTTGAAACCATATCAGGAGCCATTTCCCCGAGCCAGGCAAGTGCATATTCACCGAAACTGGTCAACTGCTCCAACAGCCGTCTATGTCCCATCGCCAAGTACCGACTGAGTCGAGAGAACAGGGTTGTGCTGTAGAGCATAGAAACAAACGCAAGGCGAACTTATGCGAAGTAAATTCAGTGAAAAACAGTTTTACATTATGCAGTAAATCTTACTTTACCCACTACGCTTCTTACTGAAACAGTGTTATCCACTGCATTGCGGTGAGTGTGATAATACTGTGGACCAAGTGAGCTCCCAGAGAGAATAATAATAGTTGCCACTAACTGTAGTGAATACAAACGAAGAAAGCTGTATACAGAAAACGCACCTGACTAGCATATATACCCCTTCCTCGTCGGCATTCGGTCCGGCCAAACAGTAATGTATCCGATTGCGCCAGTTATCTTCGGATGAAGTGAATGGCTGGGACGAGTCAGGAACGACGAGAACTTCTAGATAAGGAGGAAACAGAAAGAGCCCAATGTTAAAAGCGATAACAGGTAAGAGTATTTGGAACAAATCGCGCCTTTTCTCAGTGATGCAGATTTTCTTCTTAGTGGAATGGAAAACGGTGAAAAATTGATCTGGTTTTTTAAGATACAGAGGGACGCAAAGATTTTCACAACAAACAATACTTGAAAACTTCAGTCAACAGGAAATGATTGGTGGAATCCGAATCTGTTTCCAAGTCATATTACAAAATCATGATAAACGGAAGAGCACAAATAAGCATGACGCGTTTCGGTACACCCCGTTGGTGTCTGTGTACGGTTGAAACAAGTGGAAAAACCCATGTTCAACTGGACGGAGATCTAACAGTGCGAACTATTTAAATGAGCGAAGGGTTGGTACATATAAGGCGAAAACAACAAGTCTAATTTATTCAGTCGTGGTACTGCCAAAAAACCAGAGTGAACTTATATTCAAGGAGTATTAAGAATAGTATGTTTTTGTTCGGTATCGTATGAGGACTAACAAGGACCATTACACAGCAGCATGAAAATTAACATGAAATTCGTGAGGGAATATCAAAGCATGCTACTGATCAAACATCAAACATTGAAAATGGCCTACATCTGTGAGCCCCAACCTAAAGCCATCACCTTGACGTGGTGGTCGGGCTTGAGTGCTGCAATTATTCCGCTGACTACAGTAGCTAGAACTTCGTTCCACAAGGTACAACTAAGCCAGGAAGGTCAAAAGGGAGCAGTCAGACCAAGAGCAGCGAGACCCCTTACTACGAGTAACCGTGCTACGAGGCGGTTTGCGGGGCAGGAGTGTGAAGGTAGAAAGGTGTTTCCCGCTGCCACCGAGTCATTATCTCCGTGCAGGGTCCCCGAAGAAAACCCTATTGTCTGCTGCTTCGTGGGTCAGACTTTTGAGTCAGAGGCCACGTGCAAGGTCCTTCAACAAAACCCTACATCCTCCAACTGCTTTGTGGGTCAGACTTTTGAGTCAAAGGTTCAAGGTAGGGTCCCTCAACAAACCCCCTTCCTCGGTATGGGCAACCATGAACCATCGTTTACCCGCACAGTTCGGTATCCACCGATGTCCCTCCCCAACTCCTTCCCACCACACAAACAAATGCCACTGAGTCATTTGACTGATAGTTACCTGACCGAAGGGCAGATAAACCACGAGATCCTTTGTACATAGGAACTTTAACGTCCGTACTCTATGTCAAATTGGCAAACAGGCAATGCTTGATGAAACCTTATATTCCCCTAAAATTGATGCATGCTGTCTCCGAAACACGCATACAAGACTTGAGCGTGGTTATGCATCTCAGAATGCTAAGAATGAACTCAGCTCTTTCACATTTCTTCCTACGTGTGTCCAGTGACCCAGAGGCAACGACTCGTGGAATATATGGTGTGGGAGTTGCACTCAGCCCTAGAGCTGAACGCGCTTTGCTGAATTGGATTCCAGTGAACACTCGTCTTTGCACCGTCCGGTTATCCAGTAAAACCAAGCTCAAGTCCCCTCGGCATGAAAAGTGGTGCCTGTTTGTAGTGCCGACTCATGCCCCAACGGAGTGCGGTTCTGATGCTGAGAGAGATACTTTATACCGAGAGCTATCCGGGCTCATTCACCAAGCAAAAAGCACTAACATTGTGATCCTTGCAGGCCGTCTTAGCTCCTTGGAATCACATTTGGGCGGTCGATTCGGAGAGGATACTCGCCGCACAGAAAACAGAGATCGACTTCTTCAGCTGTGTGCTGATCATGAACTATTCCTGGCAAGTACGAACTTTCAACATAAATGTTCACATCGCGTAACCTGGCGGCCACTAACTGCAAATCAACCGTGGACCCAAACCGTTCAGCTGCAGAACCCTTTCGGTGCCTAGCTGCCATGCCACCCGAAGGAAGCACGAGGGCTGGCATACTGCCAGGTTGCCCAAGCCTAGACAGGGGAAGTCGACAGGCAGAGGTCGGGTTCGAACCACGGACCTTCAGGTCAATAAATTGGAGCTCTAACCACTTGGGCCATCTCGCCCCGTGGACCCAGTTGGACCACGTGACCATTAGCCACCGGTGGAGAGCCACAATTCAAGACTGTCGTTCTTTCTGGGGCACACCACTTGATTTCGATCACGCCATGGTGCGTGCACGCCTGACAGTTCGCTTCAATTCGGGCCCTCGCAAGTCGGCAAGAAGCATGCAAAACCACTATCTTCGAAGAACGACCATAGCTCAACAGTACCCAGCTGAGCTAGCCCAAAAACCCTCCACAGTAGGTAAATACTGTGGCAGTGAGCATGTGGATGAAGCGTGGCAAAATGTGAAGGGAGCTATGTTGGCGGCGTTCGGTACTGTATGTCCGACCTCTCCGACTCTACCACAGGACCGCTGGATGTCGACGAGAGCACTATCCATGTTTGACGTCAATAGAGCTCTGCCAGCAGGCAACGAGTACGACGGCGCACGCAAATTTCTCAAAAGCCAAATAGTGAAGAGTCTGAGGAAACACCGAGAGCTCTGGTGGACATCGAAAGCTCGGGAGAGGGAGAAGGCTATTGCTACGGGAAACAGCTGTGCCCTTTATCAACTGATACGATCGACTGGCCCTAGAAAAGCAACGGTCAGCGAAACGATAAATGAAAAAGATGGCTCATTAATTCACTCGCAAAAATGTCGACTGGAGAGATGGGCCGAACACTTCGAAGAGCAGTTCAGCTGGCCTCATGCAACACAACCAGTGGAGGTAATGCATACGGGCGAATGGAATGTAAACCCTGATCGCCCTTCAGAAGAAGAAATAGGGTACGAAATAGCCGTACTGAAACGTGATGAGGCACCAGGACCGGACGGTCTGTATCCAGCCCTCTTCAAAGAAGGCGGAGGATCCCTGGTGACCCATCTGACGAAACTTATTGGTGCCGTATGGAACGAAGAGGTGCATGCAGAATGGGGCATATCTTCAAAAAAGGTACGCGGACGCTGTGTGGAAACCACCGTGGCATCGGCCTATTACCTGCGCATCGAAGGTACTCTCTGGCCTTATCCTTCGAAGGTTGACTGAACACAGGGAGAGATGCGGTAAAAAACAAAGCTGGGTTCCGTCCTGAGAGAGGACGCATCGATCATATTTTCACCCTCCGACAGATTCTGGAACAGCAACACTGCTTCCAGCAACCAAACATGGTTGTGTTGCCCGAAGTGAAAGCTGCTTTTGACTCTGTGGAGCGTCAGGCACTATGGCATTGTTTGCGGAGCAAAGGTGTGCCCCATAAATTCTTGATCCTCATTACGGCGCTGTACGCCAACTCCCGCGGCCGTGTGAAGGTCTACGGGAAGCTCTCACCTGAGTTCAATACATCAGGTGGGGTCAGACAGGGCTATCCTCTTTTACTTTTCCTCCTCAAATTCGTCATTGATACGATCATGGACGACTCACTATCAGCCCCTAATGCCTGTGGGGTCAAAGTACTCCCGGAGCGTCCGCTCACAGACATCAAGTATAGGGAAGACATAGCTCTTCTTGGATCTGATGCCGAAGTAATGCAAACAATGTGAAATAATCTAAATAATTCTGCCTCATGGTTTGGCATGCGCTTCACACCTACAAAGTGTAAAGTGCTACTGTAAGACTGGGTGGGCTGGAACCCTAGCCTCATGCTTTCGGATGAACCGATTGAGGTAGTAGACAAATTTGTTTACCTGGGCAGCTGTATCATTGCTTGTGGTCTTGCGAAAGATGATATTTCCATCCGGATTCGGAAGGCCTGAGCAGCTTTCGCGAACCTGCGTCACCTGTGGCGTGGGCGTGACATCAGCTTATCCATCAAGAGTTGAGTTTACAATGCTTCAGTGCGCTCTATATTACTATACGGATCAGAAACCTAGTCGCTGCGCGCCGAATACGTCAAAAGAATTTGAGTGTTCGGCCACCGATATTTTCGGAGTATTGCCCGAGTCTGCAGGTAACACCTGATAGGCAATGCTGAAGTACGTCGAATGGTATTAGGAGGGAATAACTCATCCTCGATGGATGAAATGATCACACTGCATCGGTTGCACTGGCTTGGCGACGTGCTGCTTATGCCAGTCGACCAACGGCTCGAACGGTTTTTTCCGCACTACTATGTTAAAGGTTGAAACGAGCCAGAGGCGGTCAAACAATGACTTAGCAGAGAAGTATAAAAGCCATTACCAGAAAATTCAGCTGCACGGGTCATTGCCGTCTCCTTGGATGGGGATCTCGAGACGGGCCACACCAATGGTTAGAGGCATTGTCAGACATGGCCTAGTTGCGTCCTCAACCACACTCCTGCATCCAATGTGTTACCTTCAATCCATACTTTCGCTCCCTATTCCCTCCCATAACAGTCCACTGAAAGTGCTGTACGCACGAACTTATCAGCTCCCGCCTGCAATGCGCAGCTACGTACGCCAACTCACCAAATAATTGGTGGACGGAACTGTGGTAGCTACAAGCACTGTACGAAAATTACTCGGTTCTCACAGCTGACAATGATGAGATCTGTAATCATATAATAAAGTGTGGCGAAGCAGACTACCAACGTCCCAAACAACGGGAAGAAGAGCAAACAGTGTTCAAAACCAATATAGGTTGACGAATAATAGAAGAAAATGCCGAACTCACTCATTTTACTGCGTCGCACTGCAGCCAAAATTTCTGGACGCGATATGTGGTGATCGGAATGTAGGAAATGAAGACCTGAAATCTGTCGGGGAACGGTTGACTCAGAATTCAAAATATTATCCTGCATCGCAGATTCGTCGGAAGCAGCGTTAGTGTCATTCAAGGGTTTGAGAGCTGATTTACTGGAGTATGACTCAAACTCTAACGTGGTTCCACCGTCTATCTCGATCGATTTTAAGATACCCTCGACGTGTTTTTCTGAGAAAAGTTCCCGGTGGTCACACTTCGCGTACTGCGTAAACCAATTGCAAGAAAAACAAAAAAACAAGACACGATATCAAGTAGCTACACTATTCAAAGGTAAGCGGAAGCCAAATAGAATGACGACCGAGTATGTTGGTTTCTCAGGGAGCAGAGGGGTCATTGACATTGGAAAGACTATTAGTTTCGTACTACTCATTAGTAGGTGAAAAATTCAATAAATAGGCAGAGATACTGGCGCAGTAGTATTGGCAAAAGCTGACATTCCTTAGAGGAAACTGAATGAGCCATTCTTCAAGGAGTACCGGAGTACGGTCGACATCCGTAGAATCGACACATGAGAGTGACATCCAAAAAGCCATTTTAATATGAGGGTGTTTGTAAGGGAAAATCCGGTCATCGCAGAATGTTACAAAAAAACATTGCTTTGTATTCTTATTCGACGCATCGTCGTGTGAATCCCATTACTGGGCGAACATTTCGGAAGTAAGTGCATACATGTGCACATATGAGGATTCAAGAGCTATGTGGTGCTGTTCTTTATGCACGAACTTCTTTCGCACCCTCAAAGTGACGTATGCAGAACGCGCTAGGCTTCGACAACAAAGTATGCGAAAAAACGCTCCGTTTGCAACGTATTTTTTTGTAGCTCAAGTGCACAAATAGCGCAAGCACTGTACGATAGCAGCGAGGAAAGCTCGACTACTGAGAATTCGTATACCGGTTCTGCGTAAATTTTTCTGGGGAAACTGTTTGACAGTGTTGTCCTGATTTCGGCTAATGCACCCGCAAGTACATACCAAATCGAGGCCTGCATAATGTGATGTTCCAGTTAATCCGTTCTCTGGCGTTTAAAAGCGATTAGGTTCACTCTATGGCCCGTTGAGGTATGGAGCTATCAAGCGATTCCCCGAAGGGACTGTTATCGTTCTGTGAAGGTAACTTTTCTGATAACCCCTTCCGTGGAAACCTATCAAATTCTGTAAGAAATATGACGTTTTTGTTTCCTTGCGGTGACACAAATCTGGCAACATTTACAGCACCGAATAGCAGCGGTAATGCAACCGAATGCAACAGACTAGAAGAGTTCTACTATGAGCAATGCTTAGCCACGGTCCGTCAAGTCATTCGGCGAGATGGCTCAAGTGGTTAGAGCGCGAATTCACTGATAGGAAAGTTCGTGGTTCGAACCCGACCTCTGCCTCTCGACTTCCCCTGTCTAGGCTTGGGAAACCTGGCAGTATCCCAACCCTCGTGCTTCCTTCAGGTGGCATGGCAGCTAGGCACCGGAAGGGTGTTACAGCTGAACGACTTTTTTTAAATCACTCGACGTAGAAACGTTGCTCTATAGAAACGGAAACAATATACTTCTTGGGTTAACTTAAATAATTTACCTCGAACGACGTTCCGGGTCGGACAATACGTAAAAGCAATCACCCAAATTGAATACTGATGTATTCAGAGAATACGTTTCCGTGGTAGGAGTCACAGGATTCTGGTAAAATAGAATAAAAACACCCATCTGCACAAAACATAATTACAATGCTTCACCTGAGACCGGTAATATTTCCATCCAGTGGATTCCCAAGATAGTAGTTAACTCACCAATCGTTTGATTCGACAATCCCGAACAAGTTGATAGGCTTCTTGCATCAAGTCCCGAACAGAATGGAGCTTTTCAGTTACTGTGACAGCCTCCGCCTCTTCCGCATAATCCCAGGCTTTGGCCGGGGATAACAATTCGCCAACCAAAGATCTTGCTCGATTTGGTGGACTCACATCATCTCCAGAGGTTGCCACCGAACTCTCATCCACCACAGACAATGAAGCCATTGAGCATGGACGTGTCTTCATCGTGGATTGATAATCGTGGGGAATTGTGTAGTCTGGTGAAGAAGCTGCTGCGGCAAGCAAGGTCCCCAACTGATCGACTGCCGTATCAAGTTGGTCTGGGACAACCACAAAGCGACGCAAAATCCAGAATACGAACGTTCGTCGGTCAACAAACAGACGACGAGCCGCATCTGTACGAAGATACGCCTGAACAATCTTTTCAGCAGCTAACCTAGGAACATAAAAACAGATGAGAAATGGGTCAAACCATATATAACCTCATTGATAGTCTTCTGATAAGACGACATTAACACTGTCGTGACGGTTGGTTTCATGTTGTAGATTAGCTAGTTCATCACAAGAAAGACTATACATGCTGGCTTGTACGAAACTGTTACCCAGGAATACAGAAAGTTTCGTATTCATAGAGAACGGATAATCAAAAGGGTTTTGTATCAGTGCCCAACTTCTTCTACCTCAGGAACACGCTCTTATCAGAATTTGGAGCCCAGATACATTCATAGCGCTCTTTGATTCAGTGCATTCGATCAGAATTTCGCTTCTCGGGATTACTGCCAGATGGTCGGTGAGCTATTCAACGAATTGCTTTCTACCGAATCATTCCATCACTCTCAAATGTGTTGTGCCATTAATTTTACCAAAATACCAATTTGGCTGACGTTCATCGGATTCTCCGAGCGCACTCTGGCACTATTAGTCTACCCTTCTAAGATATGCTTCTCAAGGCTCGTTTACTGTCCAAGAGCAAGGCATCCTTCTCTCCTGCTCATCTGGCTTAGGGTTCACGCAGCACAAGATTTTGCAGTGTGATTCCAACCGAGTCAAGCGATAAGCCACTGAAGACTCTAGTTACTTGAGAATTTGTCCCTGGAGCTGGTTTGGAAGCACAGGTCAGCACTGTCAGGGTATATCAGACAGTTTTTGGAGTAGAAAAACACATGCATAACAGAATAAGTAGTCATACCCCATCGGTTACAGTTGATGACCCGCGTACTTCGCGTGTCAGAGGTCCATCTGCTTTGGTCTTCTTTGTGTAGAAGCATAAGGACGGACAGCCTGCGTCTTATTGAAGTATGGAAACCCTGATCACCAACTACCCTCTCCCGATCCCGTCTAATCTTAAAGTGGAAACCGAAAAGTTTGGAACACAATCTAAATAACGGAACATAATTAAAACCACCGCAATTAGTGAGAAATCCACTTCCATCCGATCCTATTTATAGTGGCAGATGGTGAAAAACAATCGTTTCCAAACTCCGAAGCAACCAAAGCCAGTTGGTTGAGTGCTGGGAAGCACGCAAAAGTTGAAACTCTTTTGACCTACTGATTGTTAAAGCCCGGCTACTGGTTCGATATTGTCATTTCCAACAGCCGACTGTACTCAAGTGTGCTCGTTGGTAACAAGTTGCGAGTACATTGAAACAAAACTACTAACAAAAGACAGCAGCGATTACTGCACAGATCTTCGCGATTGAACGCATACTGTTGGAAAGTGGTGTTCAGCGAAAAAAAACTCCATCCGATGATATGTTGACTTTACAATGGAACCAATTCGTTCCTAGCAAGACGTGGAGTGAGAAAAGAAAAACAGTCACAACGAGCCAACCAATGTTCGTATGTTTACACTGGAAAAAGCTGTGCGTTCACATACCGCAAAGCTTCATCCTGTGGCAAATCCTCATCTACTTCGGCATCACCCTCAAGTTGCTTTAGGTTAGGACCATCTTTTGCCGAAAGTTCGACAGTACTGGAAAAGTCGGGTTCGTCAAAAGAACGTTCGGAGACGGTCTCCCACTCACTGTCCGAATCCGTAGTGAGTTCGTCCGGTTCATAGTCGTCCGAATCTTCTCCGGACCAGTCATCATCATCTATGAGCTAGGCGGGGCGAAACATCAAGTTGTCAAGAAAAGATGGTTAGTCAATTGCGCATGAAGAAGACGAGTTGTATTGGGAGTTTACACATGCCGACAACCCTGTTTCCATAAGAAGGCAGAAAAGTCAGTTTCAAGTTTTCTTCATGTGTGTGCTAAAAAGGCCGGACAAAACAGCAATCTGACCAATAGTTACGTGTGTTAGAAACTGTCATACTTTCGGTTCGCACAAAGTAGGAACAAGTTCTCGCCTGTTTGAGCCGACCGTGCGGCAAGTAAAGCTAAGAGACACGCCAACTCAAGTGAACCTAACGGTGAATTCAACTGCCCCGAATGAGATCAAACAAACTAGTGAGAATAAGACGTTTAGGATGCATATCATCTGGAAATTGGTGCTGTTTCGCTTACCACACATCCCAAGGGAACCAAAAGTACAGAGATGCACAGATATTCCAGCTTCTTGTCATTTAACGCGTCAACAAATTTCTTGAGACTAGTCGATCCACCGATAACTAGTGAGATAAGCGACCTGTTATTGGCCGGTCTGTTACAACGCAGTGTGCGTGAAATGAGAATTTACGATTATCATCCGACACTAGTGTCCTCAGCCGCCTGTGGAGGCGACCTCTCCACTGACGACTAGTGACTCTTTTGCTGGCGAGAAGAGGTGGATTCAGTTCTGCTAATTAGTCCGATCGGCCGACCGAACTGCTCATACATGCTAATTCAGGTGAGTCCTAAGTGAGCTGGCGGAATAGCGGTAACATGCTGGATTCGCATGTCAGATGTCTGGGATTCAAACCCCTTGCGAATGAACTTTATTAAGAACGAAACCCAATTACAGTGGTTTGATGGCAGCGCAACATTAGTTGCAATACTGGCTTCGTTGTCTCTGATGATGACGCGTTCTTTGGTACGAACTAAACGGAGGAAGGAAATTCCACACTATAGTAGTGACAGTGCAGGCAGATTCAACAGAAATCACAAATTAAGATACCTTATCCATAACGCTTAATTTCCTCGAGAACAGATCGCATGGGCACTTAAAAAATAAATGACAAACTATGGAGCCACGAAGTCAAAATTTAATCATAGTTGGTTGTTGTATCAGAATAGGAACAAAGTTGAGCTAACACACCTGGGACATTGAACACTACGCTGCCAATTATATACTGCAGTTTTCCGGCAGTGTCATGGGATGTAACGTAGAATGAAAAATTATTCTCCTCGATTTTCTGGGCTCAAAAACGGCGCTTCCTGAAACTTTGCCTCTATCGTTTTTTCGATCCCCCAGCGCCACATTTATCTCACTTGGCACGAAGCCGTTTGCACATCAAGAACACTATTCACATCATCTAGCCATACCTCTCCATTACAGCCCGGTATTTCGTTGAAAGGACTTTTGTGATGAGTCACTTGCACAGTGCACTTACACCCTAAGTTTTAAAATGTTTTTTTTACTTTCACTTATTTTTATTAGGTCTTCAATGTGACTCCTTGATATGTGTCACGTTGCATAAGACTTCCTTGAGGTGACCTCAAGCCATAGGCCAGTCGGGGTTAGAAACTGTTCACGCACGTGGGGAACAGGAGTTCATCAGAGGAGAAATCCACATGAAAAATTGCACAGATGAATCATTTAATAATCAACATGTAGGCTGATTCAGGGTAAGTGGTTACTTACTGCATCCACCGGCAACAGACACTGTGTACGAGGTACTTCCGTCTTCGTTCCATCAATCCAGTGAATTAGCAGTTTACCAGTTTCTGGATAGATATCTTCGATGTAACCAGCAGGAATATGCGCATGAGAAGGGTCATCTGTGGCTTGTGTCAACAGCACATCTCCATAGTTTAGCTGACGGTCAGAAGAGGCAGTTAACTCGTAAACACCGGCGTCCTCTGGCGGACCGATAGGAATAAGTTTCCTGTGTGGATTGTGTGTANGCAGGAAGGAATATGCGCATGAGAAGGGTCATCTGTGGCTTGTGTCAACAGCACATCTCCATAGTTTAGCTGACGGTCAGAAGAGGCAGTTAACTCGTAAACACCGGCGTCCTCTGGCGGACCGATAGGAATAAGTTTCCTGTGTGGATTGTGTGTATGTGCGAGAGAGAAGTAACTGGCTTTTGTAGACATCCTAATACAGTAATCCACCGTGAGGGTGGGGTAACTCAACAAAAAAATCACAAATATTGTGTCCATAGCTACTTGAGATGTGTAGCATATAGCTGGCAGGGGCGAGATGGCCCAAGTGATTAGAGCGCGAATTTACTGACCGGAAGGTACGTGGTTCGAACCCGACCTCTACCCCTCGACTTCCCCTGTCTA